TTTAGAATAAAAACACAAAACAGATCCTATTGTTTTTTTCCTGTATGTCTTTCTATACATTTTGTCAGTTTATCAAAAGCCTTCGAGCTAAGCACCTCCACCATGATCAGTTCATAATGGTTTGAATCTGCTGTGAGTACTTTAGTGCACTTTGATGATGTGCATAAGTGGAGATTATCTTTTATTCCATTCATTTTATCTTGAATTCAAAGAAAAACCGTTACATTTTCTTTGAAGTAAGAAGATCAGAATAAAGCTAAATCCGAAATATTTCAGCGCCAAGATGGATTTATTCCTTCCTGCAGTCATTCTGAATGTACACATTTTCTAGTGATTCTCATAAATAACTCCCCAATATGCTACTGTGCAGCATGCCACTCCCCCCTCCATGCTTCACAACTGGTGGACAGCCCTTTCCAACAGATATGTTTGCTCTTCAGTGCTTAGATAATTTACTTTTATAATCCTTGTAATATTATTTGAGAAATCCTGGTCTTCCTCTTCATCACTTCTGTCTGTTAAACTTTAATCTGACTCTTATGTTCCTGTAGAGAGTGATGGATTCCTCTTTTAGCACATTCAATGTAGGTTAAACTTGTCACTTTATTTCTGTGCAGAGATGCTCTTTCATATCCCAGTACGTCCCACTGTTACATGTTTGGGGTTTATTGACCTTTCTCCTCCATCTTTGGGTCTATATTCAGGGTCAACCTGCTTGGACAGCCAGACCCAGGCATGATGGCAGCTAGTGCATCTCCTTTACTGTTAATTATTTGTCTTTCTGTAAAATGACTAATTTCCAGTTATTTTTAGACCTCATTAAACCACTACCAGATGGCAAAGTTGCCTAAATCTTTTTTAGACAGTATTTTCACTCACAACAAATTGACTGTTGGATGTTTCTTCTGAATGTTATATAGTTGTCAGCAAATGCCTCTGATACGATGTGCAACTTGAACTGTTTGAAGTAGTTACTATAACTGTGCGTCTGTCTGTTTACTCCTCACCAGAAGTTGGATATTTGTAAACTATGTTGAAGTTTGGAAGCTCTTCTCTCCAAGTGTCAGATGTTTTCTTTTATATTCATCAAAACCTTAAATTGACTAAATGCTCAAATAAACAGAAAGTTTTATAGGGAATGTTTTGAAATGACTGCATACTTTGATGTATGAATTATGAAAATGTTTTCTCCTAATTCCTGTATTTTCTGTTGTATTCAGAGTTGCGACCCTCTGACAAAGAACCTAGAGCCGTTTTCACTTCTGTTATAATCAGAAGGTCAAACCTCTAAAATATGAGAGAACTTATCAGATCATTTTGATGCGAGCTTTCAAAATGCAAGCAGAACAGTTCTGTGTGCTGGGACCAGAGGATGGGTCGTACAGCGATATGCTTAAAGACATCTGATGCCCTGAAGGCCTCATTGAAAGATGCCAGGAAACCCTTTGCTCTATTAGGAATATTTCTTTTTGCAGCTGACTGACATGTGACCCCCAATGGAGGGAAGTAAGAAACAGCTGATTACAGAAGATAAATTGGGTTACTGCTGCACGGAGAATAGGGAAAATGTGGGAAATATAAACATTCAGTTGAATGTTTCTGATTTATTTATTTTTTTTCAGTTTAGTCTTCTTTAACCTTTTTGGCTCCTTCTATTTCTGATAGTGCTGACGTCTGCTATTAGAGTCAAAATATATGAAGTAGTTTATATGATCCCCACATTGAACCTCTGACACGTCAGATTTTTTTCAAGCTTAAAGAGGAACGCCGTTTTTTTTTTTACATTTGGCCCTTGATTTTACGTTATTTTATCATGTTTTACTCACCCATATGAGTTTTTTGTCATTTGGAGCTGTTCTGAAGATATTCCGTTAGGTTATATCCAAGTAACGTCTTCCTATGAGCAATCGACTTAAAGGCACAAAATAAACTGTTCATAATTTATTCTTTATGGTACGCCAGCATTCATTACATGTAGGCGAATCACTGTCCCCCAGACATCCGCGGTTATATTTTTTATATTTATATGTTTTAAAAACAAAGCAGCGTGTGTATGACGTCATCCGCGCGCCGGACTGGAGTCGTAACAGGAAGCCCGGGCCACAGGCGGCTATGCTCTACCCCTTCTATTCATTCGGCGAGCTAATCTAAATCGTTCAATTCCATTTTAAGAGCGAGATCATCTGTGGTAGCAGCACTAGACATCTTCCAGGCATGTGAGTAAAACTAGCAGCAGTTCAGCGGACAGGATGAATGAACGGTAACCGGCGCGCGCGGATGACGTCATACACAATCCGCTTTGTTTTTAAAAGATATAAATATAAAAAATATAACCGCGGATGTCTGGGGGACAGTGATTCGCCTACATGATATCAATGCTGGCGTACCATAAATGATAAATTATGAACAGTTTATTTTGTGCCTTCAACACGTTGCCCAAAGGAAGACGTTACTTGGATATAACCTAATGGAATATCTTCAGAACAGCTCCAACTGACACAAAACTAAAATGGGTGAGTAGAACATGATGTAATAACGTAAAATCAAGGGCCCAATGTAAAAGAAAAACGGTGTTCCCCTTTAATTGCAGTTTAGTTTCTTATAATAAAATGGAAACTGATTTGTTCCTCCTTCAGTTGGACGCTTTCATTCTTTTTTATTTTTATTTTTTTTAAGATTGTTGGACGTTGCTTGGAATTTTTTGTCCAAAGTGAAAGTTAGTTTGTGAGACTAAGAAGAAAAGAAGATCTTATTAATGTCTTCATTCATTTCTAAGAAGACTGACATGTATTCCATCCCTAAATCATGACTTTGAGCAATACACTGTTTCTAAGCTGCATCTCAGAATGAAACAGAATGCAGAAGGAAAACAGAAAATAAAAGGAGACGTGTAGTGGGATAGACCAGGGTTTCTTAACCCTTCTCCTCATGGCCCACTGTCCTTCATGTGTCTCTACCCGAGCACACCTGATTCAAATGATTGCATTTTACCTCCTTTGCAGCTATGGAATGCTGTAAAAGCCTCTTGATCACCTTTTCATTCAGTTCAGGAGTGTAAAGGCAGGGAAACACCTCAAACTTGTAGGACAGAGGGCCCTGAGGACCAGGGTTAAGAAACTCTGGGCTGGACATTTTCAGATAAGCAGATGAGAGAAACAGGACTATCTTGGAGGCATTTTAGTGAGTTAGATTTGAAAATAAGCACCATTAATGGAGATGAGAAGTGATCCAATCAAGCAGAAGCAAGTAAATCAAAAATAATTCACTAACATTGTTTTAAACCTGTACATTGTAACGTCTTAGACGTTTTTCTGGAACTCTGCACGACTTTATGATTGCGTTCAGCCGATCCTTGAAGAAATGAGAATAAAAAAAGTAAAACTTTTTTCCTTTTTTCTGTTTATATGGTGAAACACACTGAGGAGGCATTAAGAAATACAGACAAAAAAAAGCTTATTTCAGGTTTTGTTTGATGACCTTGCAAAGGTATTCATGCAGTTTTCTGGGGGGGTTTAGGTTTCACAGAATGAGCAAACAGTTCAATGTTTTTTGTTTTACATCTCAGGCGTACATCTCTGTGGAAAAGTGTTTCCCAAACTTTTTTTTGACTTGTGTAGCCCTTTGAGCATATTGTCTTACCATGAGTATCCTTCTCAGTCAAAAGTATTGATGATTGTCCAAAAGTGGAACGTATAATGACTGATTATTAAATAAAAAACTATTTTACTTAGTCTGCTTGAATTTTTTAATTTGTTTAAAAAAAAAAAAAACATAGATATGTTGCCTGGAAGTTAGTAAGGAATTAGAATAAATACAAACTAAAATCATATTGTAAGCCTGTGTTTATAAAACTGGAGCTCATCTGAGTAACTCCCTTATAATATTTAAACTTGATAAATTGGGAACAGCAATTATAGTCAGACTGATTGATGATCAGTTTTTCTTTGTTTTGATCAAGAGGCATGAGCTGCTTTGATGAGCTCTGATAGATCAGTGTGAAAAACAGCTGATATCAGGCCGTTCTCTACATCCAGTCTGTTCCTCTGCTGGGTTATGATGTGCTTCACAGCTGAAGGTGAACTCAAAGGAAAATACGTACTTTTTTGTTTGTTGTTCCTCACAAAAAAAAAAAAAAAAAAAAAAAAAAAAAAAAAAAACAGAGCCAGCCCTTTTTTATTTTACTTTATTTACAAAGAAATAAAATATTCTCATTTACCCCTTGCAATGCACTCACAGACCACTAGGGGTACGAATACCCATGATCAGTTGATCATCATCTTTTCCTTTTATTTCTGTACCTCCTTTTGTTGATTAGTATTCATATTCTGAATGAGATAAATGTCTTTCTTTGTTGCTCAATATATAACAAAGTGTGAAAAGGTTCTTTTTACACTTGGACAACTTTATTGTAATATTGTATACACAGAGTGTATACAAAATAAAATTTCATTTATACAGCCAGGCTCAAAGTATACCTTTACAATTTGCCCTAAGATGAACACTTTACTTTGAAGAGTTTAATTTTCATGGCTTTTGCATGAAAAACATCAGGAAAAAAACCCTATGGTTTTGTACATTATTATTATTGTTTTAAACATTAATAAACTATTTATTTAAGAAGAAATGCATAGCTATCTTTGTATTATGGGAGTTAAATCTGATAAAGCAGTATTAGTTATTCTTCTGCACACAGATGAACTTATATTGACTCAAATGTACATGTCGGGTTGCTAGATTCACTTCCAACAGATGTAACTCCTCTAGTTAAAGATATTCAGCACATAAATCAGTATCATTTTACATGTAATGATGCTTCAGTGTAATGATTTGGGTAATTACTGTCATTTAAGGGCCCCTAATGCTGGGGTTTGTCTGTGGGTGGGCGCCTGGGATTGAATGCATCTGCCCCTGTGGTCATCGCAAGCAGACGGTCTCATCTTTGCCTGAGGTCTGTTTTTATTTAATACTCACGTGTATTTTTTTGTCCGTTCTCTCTGCAGTTTTGGGAAGCAGCTGGGGGGCAGGCGAGGCTGTGAATGCATCACTTTGGAGCCATCAGAAATGATTGTGGTGGGTATAGATGCTGCTCGCTCTCTCTTTTTTTTTTTTTTTCTCAACTTGTTTTCCCTTTTCTCTCTCCCTCTCAGCTCTCCTCACTTTTATCCCTCCGTCCCTCCTGTGCTGCCCTTTGATATCAGTCCCTTTTTTCATCTTTATTTGATGTTTGCGTGTTTCCTGCTATATTGTTCTCTCACATCCTTCTCTTTTATCAGCCTCCTTTTTTACTTTCCTCCCGTGTCCTGACAGGGCTGCTAAAGCATATTGTGATAGTGACCCACGTTTCCAACAGTTTTTAAAAATGCTTTTGCATTCGTGTTTTCTTTTAAATCTAGCTGGTCTTCTTTTCTTCTTGATTTTCTAGCTTGTTGTAATTCACAGGCTTGCTCTAACAGACAGATGACCTATTGTGTTACACTGATATCATCCTTTAGCTGTAATGTTTAGATTGCAGAGGATTTTTTTTGGTATAGATTAGCTCAATCTTTGCAGATTTTACTCTCACTATGAGTCTCTCTTGGAAAAGAAAAAATTTCTCACCTTGTTTCTATCATAACCTCCATCTGGCCAAAACGTTAATATGTTTTTTTGTTGTTTTTTTTTGTTTTTCAGCACTAAATCTACTATCTGATAAAGATGAAAAATGTCAAAGATTAGTATTCAACAGAAAAAGTCTCTTTCCTTCCACAGAGGAACTGCTGGTTACTAAAGCTGCGTTCATACCAAACGCAGCAGAAGCAGCGAGTTTACATGCAAAGTCAATGGTTGACGCGCGTCAAGGCAAAGCAAAATGTCCCGCAGCGCGTTTTGAGTAGCAGGCACAGCGTGTCTGAGCAGCTGAAGCAGCGCGTCTGGAGCTTTTGAGCATCTGACGCCTGCAACGCGCAGCAAACGCGCTGCTGCTCGAGATGGGAAAATTTTACTTTTGCTGCTCGAAAGTGCCGCATCAACCAATCAGAAGACAGACACATCTCTGATGATACAGATCACTGTGATCAGTCCTCTGAAACAATTTATTAACACCTAAATTAACTTAAAATGCTGAAACCTGCCGACAAAACATGTTCGCTTTTATTATCCTGGTGTCTGCAGTTTGGATTACGGACATGAAAACCGCTTTCCAGTCGCCGCGGCGAACCGCGAGGCGGCAGAGGCTGCTGTTGAATGGGATTCCTACTGACACCGCAAAGTATGCAGTCAGTGGAGGTCTGAGCGGCGCCGACAGAAATAATATTGGAAGGCAGGATGGTAATCAGGATAAACTGGCTGCACTGATTAAGTTTTCAGGTGGATTTTCCCACTTAAAAACATAATAAAACTACTTTATTCCCACTAATTACAGCTGCCAGGCAAAGAAAGGATAGTGTAGCTCCGCCCAACGTGCGTCAGAGCCACTTTGCCACCGCGCAGCCTGAGCAGCAAAGCTGCTTCAGCCGTGCATCAGAACTAAACTGGTACAAGCAGTAAAAAGGAAGCAGCTGACGGCTTTTTGCTGCTTCTGCTACGTTTGGTCTGAACAAAGCTTAAGACTTCTGACATTAAATGTTGCCACTGATCCTCCATCTGTCATTATTCATCCTTGACCACACCTGTCAGTACAAATACTGTAGATGGAGAATGATTAGTTCCACCCTGTTTCTGCATAATCGCATTTTCATTTGATCATGGAGGTTTCTGAGCAGTGTCATCCGCTGCCTAGCAGCTGTTTGGCACATGATTCAAACAGACTGACATTCAGCAGGGAGTGCATGCACTTGGTTCTGTGTAGATCTAGTGCTGTGTCTCAGGCTAATTTCTAATAGTTCAATACAAAGCCTAAGAAAGTTACTTATGAAATGCAAACTCACCCATAAATGAAATAAGTCTTTTTATTTGCCCCTTTTCTTCTGGTTACAGGATCTGTATACTTAAAAATTAATTGTGGTAGCTGTATTCGTTATCTGGGGTGCAAATAAATGGGCTGCCTTCCAATAGCTTTAAAACTCTAACATGAGCTACATGAGAGTCATGCATTAGTACTTTATCTCTAGGCTCCATTTATGCTTCATTATACCTTCTTTTTTACCCTTCGTATTCAGGATGATGTAAAACATTCCAGTGCATAATTTCTTTCTCCATCAATTTAATTGTCAGTGCATTCAAATCACTTAAATTCTTGTTTTACACATTCCATATTTAAATTCTCTCTGATGTATAAATATGTAATAATTCACGCTCAGCTTAAATATTTAACATGTTTTGTTCCGTTAAAGAAAATTTGGAGCCGTTCCCCAAACGAACGTCCAATCAGCGTTGGCTTTGAGGTGGGTTGAGGTGTGACGCAACGAGAAGCGCGACAGTTC